TACAGTACATCTAACAGCTGTGATGACCAGAAAGTTCCCATGCCTTCAGAGTTGGAGCAGAAGCCTCAGAATTAAGTGTGTGTTGGGGGGGAGAGGAGGGAGGAGAGGGATGTGAGCCCAGTGTCACCTGCTGAGAAAGTGAGACACTGTCTAGCTTTGATTGGAAATTCAGTCTAGAGAAGTATCACTAAAGATATATATGGCCATCAGCAGAATGGAACTAATTAGGAGATTAAATTCCATAGATTTAGCACAGACTTTTGAACACTTAAAGGAGTTGAGGGATGGAAACCACTTAACTATGCTTCAAGCTTGGCTCAATTCCCTAATGGAGACTGATCTCTCTTATGCAAAATCTGCAGAATGCTTCCAAACATTTACAACCATGGTTAATAAACGTTCTTGGATTGCTGGATGACAATAATTTAAAAATGTACATAATCTCTACAAGTATTTCATATTGCAGAGGACTAGTTTACTCCAGTCACAAAAAGAAGATACATGCTCTTAAGAGGTCAGACTTCAAACTTGTAACCCAGAAAGATCAGGTTTGCAGGACACAATGGATTCAAATCGAGCAACATTTCAGGGGCACTTATATAAAGCCCTTTGTGTTTCAAAATGAAGAGTCACGGGCTGAGGTACCTCCTTTTCAGGAAGCAGAACAGAGTCTTTAGTATTTTTCCCATTGTTAGAATGACAGTATCTTAAGGAAGATTATTCTTAGCCTCCACAGAAGATATGCCAGCTAGGGGATTTGAAAGTAATATATCCTTACCTGTGTCAGGTTAGATTGATGGGCCTAATTCATGCATTTTGTAGTTTGTCTCTTGGCCATCTTACTCCTGGATGGAGCTTTGTGTAAAAATAATAGTAAAACACAATCTACCTTATCAAATAGATCTGTTCTTACAAAGTTTGTGATTTCTCACTCTATTTTTGTTCTATTATTTTCAGCAGGGAAACTACCAGCATAATTTTTAGTGGAGATTGGTGTGACTTGCTTTTCTCCTGTCTTCTAGTAATATTTCAGTTTTCCCTTGATTTTTTCAAATTAGTAGTAAAATTGTTAGTTATACTAGAGTACAAAAATTAACACAAACTAGACAATTGATGTACAGGCAGTCCCCGGGTTACATACAAGATAGGGACTGTAGGTTTGTTCTTAAGTTGAATCTGTATGTAAGTCGGAACTGGCGTCCAGATTCAGCTTAAGAACCCCAAGCGTCCCCAAGTCAGCTGCTGCTGAAACTGATCAGCAGCTGATTCCAGGAAGCCCGAGGCAGAGCAACCCAGCAGCACCCCAGCTGCTCTGCCCCAGGCGTCCTGATTCAGCCGCTGCTGAAACTGATCAG